TAATAGAACCTAAACAAGTTTTAATCAAATGGAAAAAACTATCTTTGAAGTTTAAGAATAGTAGCCTATATTAGTTTTAATTAGTTTGGTTAAACATTGATATGAAGTCTATCGTATTGATAGTTTTAAAGAAGTTTTCATACGTGTAAACAGTGCCGAGATGAAGTCTTTCTTATTTATAGTTTTACAGGGTTTATTCCTATAAATAGTTATATGAAGCCTATAAAAGAAATATATCAAACATATTAGTTAAATAAAGGTATGTGGGTAAACATAAAGCTAATCATTATCGTCGGACTAATTATTGGAGGATTTCGTGGTTTTATACACCATGTAACACAAATGCTGATTATTTGCATCAAAAAGTCCTCTATGAAGGCTGGTTTATCCCAATGTTTGATCCAGGAGTTCTCTTATCTTCTAGATTGGGTTCAAAATTAGAACGCTACGGAGTTGAACATTGATAGTCGTTAACTCAGAATTGAGTCAATGCCTGTTGTAAAATAAAATAAAAAAACATGGTATGAAGCATGAAATTTTGATAGTTTATGAAAGTTAAATTAAGTTTTTTATATTGTTAATGGTAAAGATAATTTTTTTCTCCATCGTGAAAAAAAGAAAAATCAATATTTTTTGCTCGGTATCCAAATCTATTAATTTTTGTTTACATTTAAATCCTAATTTTTAATTCTACCTATAGTAAAATTTACATTCGAAAAAATTTTGAATGATTTAAAATTTCGTTAATTTAAAATAACAATAAAAAAAACATTTCATTGCTCAAAAACTATTAAATATGCAAGTAAATTTTATCCTTATTTTAAAGATAATCAGCAAAAAAAAAAAAAAAAAAATTATAATTCATTAAATTACTACGTGCATCTTTTGAAAAAAATTCTTCTGTCTCGAATTTTTTTAAAAAACAAATGAGGGGGAAAAATCTGCTTTTTAAAAAAATCAAACATTTAGTTCTATTTTTATAAAGAATAAAAATAGAAAACCAAATTTTTTTAATGTGGCTGTGTATGTGAAATGAAACCATTACAATTTAATAAAAATAACGAAATAGATATTTATTGAAAAAAGTTTGTTATCGCTATAGGTCATCTACTTTTGAAAGACCTCCATGTTAAACATTTCAGGTACTTCAGTTTCGTGCTTAAATTAATAAAAACAAAATTCTTTTGTTTGCCTTTAGCTATTATAAGAGTTTGTGAGTACTAATGCATTACGGAGAGAAATTTGGCGACAAGTTAAAAGAAAAAGAATGTTATTCATCCGCTTTTATAAAATGAAAATATAAATAAAAAATTGAACTTAAAATAAAATTTGTATCCCTATCTAACAGATAATACAGGAAATAATGAGCTTATTAAAAATAAATATTATAAATTGGTATAAAGTTTATTAAAATAATTAACCAGTTTTTAACTTTTAATTAAAAATCTGTCTAATTTGCAATATCTTTAATCAACAGTAATTTGAAATCAATGAGGCATTTCTCTGAAGAAACTTAAAGTGAGATAGAGAATGTATAGAAATTTTCTTTTTCCTATTTTCTTGAATTCGAAATTTTAATCTTATTTCACGAGAGCTTTCGTTTACTAGAAGAAAAAAAATATGTTCACAATTTTTAAATTTTACACAATTTTGTTTGTAAATGCTTCTTTAAGTAAATAATTATTCAAACTTTCATTCCTTACTTTAAACATATTATTTGTGTAGTATTATTTAGTAATTATTTAGATCCATTGTATTTTTAGTAATATCTAGATCCATTACCTAGAGCAGTTGCTTAGAAATACTTTAGGGTAATGGATTCCGAAAGGTGTTCCGCGGAACCCTAGGGTTCCGTAAAACATCACAGAGGCTCCTAGAGTTAGGACTTTCTTTTAACCAGCAATAAGTATATTTATATCCAAACAATAGTCCATAATTTATTTAATATTTCGGTTATTATGTAAAATACTAATGGAAAAAAAAGCAAAATTAAAAAAATTTTGTTTTTGTTTTTCAATAACGATATATTGAATGAATTATGAAAGGAATATGCAAAAAAAATATATAAGTGTTTCTCATCGTGTCAATTCAAAATAAAGTAGCCAAATTCAAAAATAAAGACTCATGTTTCTCTGATTACTGTTTTCAACGTTTATGGCGGTTCTTTTTTTTTGAAAACCACAATTCAGCCGTTTTTATTCAATTTCAGCATATGCATACACCAAGAACGGATACATATATTTCACATTGAATGTTTTCAGAGCCGCAATGGCTCAAGGAATAGGACGTTCATCTTCAAATGAGGCGAACCGGGTTCGAATCCTAGTCGATACGAATTCCGCATCCGGCTTGCACCGACCACAGTGTTGACGTGAAATATCCTCAGTGGTAGGCGGATCATGGGTTGAGTCCTCTTGCCGTCAGGCTAACCGTGGGAGGTTCTCGTGGTCTTCCTCTCCATGTAACGCAAATGCCGGTTAGCTCCATCAAAAAGTCCTCCACGAAGACAAATTTCTCCCAATACTCGATCAAGGAGTTCCCTTGTCTTCCGAATTGGGTTCGAAATTACAAGGCTACGGAGTTGAACATTAGTAGTCGTAAACCCATGAAATTGGGTCGGCTGTTTAACGACGGTTATAATATAAAATAAAAATTAAATGTTTTCAATGTAATTAGAAGTCTTTTTTATTGTTAGTATTTTCACAACTGCAAATGAATTTTTTTTTATATATATACATAAATTCAGGGTTCCACTAAAAAGACCTCGATCATTCAGGGTTCCATAGTCAAAAGAAATTGGAAACCGCTGCCTGGGAGGGAGGGGATACTTAAAATTGTGCCAGTTTGTGACAAGGGGGAGAGGAAGGGTACTAAGAAGTGAGACGTCATGCGCTTAGGTTAAAATAAAAATATTTAAAATCAGCAGATTAAATACTTATATATTATTTGCTTTTATGTTTTTCATCTAAATAAGCACTTTTCAAACCATTATTTTTGTTATGATTACAAATGTAATTAAAACACATAAAATTTTAAAAAAAAATTTTAAAAAATAGAAATATGATCTCGAAAGTGTGTAATAAAAGAGGTAAGGGAAAAGATGAAGTTCTACATTTTGTGACTTGACAAATAAGATAGGTGTCAAAAATATTGAAAAAAAAAATCTTACATTATTCTCGCCGCCTTGTTTTTTACTTTAACTTAATTTATATTATTACATTATTAAAACTTATTTTATAATAGTTGCGTGTTCGCTGTATTGCCATTTCGACTTGTGTGCCATAAAATTCTACAATCAATCAACTACGCAATGAAATATAATTTTCGTGAGGAACATGTTAAAATAAATATTTAATTTAACAGATCTTGAACTCTGCACATTTAAAACTGCGCACACTCGCAAAAATTAGTCTCGATAATCCGTATTTTAAGCGGAAATAATTTTAAAAGTTAGAACAAGAAAATTCTATTACAGCTTCTCATAGCAAGACTATGCATTTTTTAAATTAGAAATATGAACAATACGTTTTCAAATTTCGCAAAACTTAAAAAACTTTTGAATAAGTTTTATTTTGATTGATGACAGTATTATGTAACAATTTCATTAACGCATGATTTTGGGAATAGGTTTCAACGAAAATTTCGCAAACATATTTCAGATGGCGTCTTTTGAAAGCAACGACATTCTGAACTTTTAACTTTAAATATTTAAAGTACAGATTGGTGAAGTTTTGTAACTGTTACGAGACAAACTAGCATTTGTGAAATTAGGCCTAACTTTTGGTCATTAAAAAATCTTGTCTTGGATGAATTTAATTTGAGTAACAGATGGAGCGCACATGATAGTTTGATTGATTGTATTGATCTAACCATCATTTGGCATTTATGGTACATTTCACTTTTGCTATATAAATAGTGGAGTATTTACTTTAGCTTCATTTTATTTCAAATATTTTCCCATGACGCAACAATATTGACATTCTTCATCAGTAAAAAATCAGAAAATAAATTGATTAGCTTCCACTGCATAATGTGTTTGTCATTAAATAAATCTAACGAAACAAATCAGTTATTAGGTAATATTAATTTTAAAAAATCTAAAAAATAACTTTTTCGGTGAAATTGAAAGTTAGAATTTTAAAATGTCTGCAACACAGTATTTATAAAATGATGTCAAACCTTTGATCAGAAAAAAAATAATGTCTGGACTAAACTTGAGTAACAGATGGAACACGCAGGATAGTTTGATTAATTGTATTGATTATAAGATTATTGGACATTTATGGTATTTATCAATTCCTATAAAATATGTATAAACTGTGGAATGTTTATTTCAGGTTCAATTTAGTTTATATATTTTTATGTGAAGCAAAAATATGGAAATTTTTTACCATTAAAAAACAGAAAATAAATTGATTCACTAAAACTACAAAACGTGTTTGTCATTAAATAAATTTGATGAAACAAATTAATTATAGGTTAAAATAAATTAAAAATTCTAAAATAATTATTTGTCAGTGAAATTAAAAGTTGGAATTGTAAAAGTTTTTTGAGAATGAATCATTTGTTGCACAAAATATGACTGCATTAGTATTTTCTTATTTTTATACAGCACTAAGAAACGGTATTGATTGATTATAGCATAAATTAACAAACTAAGGAAACTAAATCCATATTATCCGTACATGTAAAAATTTGTTTATATTTTAATATAAGCCATAATCACCGAAACTTAATATATTAATCAAAACGTTACTCTAAGTTTCCGGAAAGAATGAAATTTCAAAATGGCTAATGTCACGTAAAAACAAATTCCTATCAAATAACCAAATAACACGTAGTAAGATTCGTGTTGATGAGTTAACGTAGCAGAAAAAAAAATTATTATTTTATAAAACAACACAGAAAACGTTTAATTTTCTGGTCCATCGTGTCACTGGCCCTGATGACGTTCAAAGTTCACGTGACTCTTCAAATGTCTCGGTTGGCTGATGGTTGAATATATAAACGAAGCAACTTTGGTTTCGGTACTCTAGTGTCTTTTTTCAACCTTTCTTCCTAAGTTGGAAAAATTGTTTCGACAGCTTGCTTTTTACCATGAGGTGTTTAATAATTCTCTGTTTAGTAGCTTGTGTTTTCGCCCAAGATGCTGTTCCGGTGAGTAATACCAAGAAACAAGGATATTATTTTGATAGATATTTTTAAGAAAAATTGTACAAAGAAAATTCATAATGGCAACAAAAAAAAAGAATAGAATGTTTTACTAAAAGATATTTTTAGGACAGAATGTGATAAGATAATTAAAAATTACTAACGATAATACAGGATTTTTCAAACGATAATACAGGATTTTTAAATATATTAAGACAGCAAAGATAATTGAGAATTGAAACGATAATATAGGATATTTAAATATATTAAGACAGCTAAGATAATTAAGAATTGAAACGATAATATAGGGTTACTTAAATATATTAAAACAGCTAAGATGATTGAAATTACAAACGATAATACGGGATATTGAAATATATTTAGATAGCAAGGATAATTAAAAATTGCAAACGATTATGTAGGATATTTTATTGAAAGATGTTTTTAAGTCAGAATATTTAAATAAAATTGAAATAAAATTGAAAATGGTAAATGCGAATATAAGTTATTTTATGTAACAATTTAAAAACAAAATGTAAAAAAGGAAATTGTAATTTGCAATTTCTAGATTATTTTGAAAAAGTTTTTTCTAAAGTTATAATGTGTAGTTATGTAATGTTAAAATTTTCAAGTGATAATATTAGAAATTTTTTTTTAGAAAAAAAAGGAAAAAAAGATTTTTAAAAGTGATATGAGGAAAAAATAAACGATAAAAAATAACAAATTTAATCAGAAATGCTTTTTTTTCAAAAGAACTTACAAAAATTTAAAAAAAATTAGGATATTTTTTAGACTATATTTGGGAGACAAGTAATTTTCAAATGGCAAAACTAAGATTTTATATAATTTTATTCTACTAGAAAATGAATAAAAATGTGAAAACTATAAAAATTTTTAAGTCTTTTTATTTTTTTAATAATAATATACTTAAATAGTCAATCTAATGTTTAATTTTTCTCTAGCAATTGCGAAAAAAAAAAACAATTGCAAGCATTAATATGACTTGAATTTAAGTAAAAAAAATACAAAAAGCTGGATTTATAGCTTTGTGATGTTGTGCCTTTCATGTTTTTAGTTTCGAGAATTGATGAAATTATTAAAAATAAAGAAATAATTTATATATATAAATAATAAACTTTTTATAGTAAAATATATATTTTAAAGTTTATTTTTTATCACACAGAATCGAATTGTAAGCAGAATCATGTTATACAGAGTCATATTTTAAACAGCTTAATATACAAACTAGATTATTGTGTTTGTGAGGATTGAGAACTGCAAAAAAATCTCTTAATACGAACTTCACAGAATATTGAATGCAAAATTTAAGATTTCTTAGCTATTAAAATCAAAATTTAATTCCGCAATCACCATAGTTCACGTGAAATACTATAGAAGGTGTGAAAATATTTTTCTAAAACATTAAACATTATTTAATATTTATTATTTAATTTGCAATGTTTCCGACAATTCCTTCATAGTGTTGCAATACAATATAGTACTACAGTTCATAGTGTTGCATTAGTGAATATTGATTAAAGAATTCGTTCTAAAATTGATTACTTTAGAATTGGAATTACATTTAAAATCATTTGACACATGAGCATAAAAAAAATTCACTAAACATCAAAATTTATTTTTAAAAAAAAACTTTTTTTTTTCCTGTTGAGGATATTTTTATGAAATTATGATCATGAAAATGCACAAACTGCGATTGAGAAGATTTTTTACAATTAAATTGAAAGGATTATAATTACATAATTTGCTAATTTTTTACTAAGTTAACAGTGAAAAAAAAATTCTAATTTTCTAAATTCTTTAATTTTCTAATAAATAATTTAATAATTTTCTGAAATTCTAAAAAACAAAAATCGTTTTCCTTCTACATTTTAATTTTTTTTTAAAGAAATTGAAAGCTGACTAGCTTTTGCTTATTTACTTAATTATCCTTCAAAACTTCACGGCTTTTTAACCTCAGTATGTTTCCTACCAATAGAGCGCATCGTTTTTATCTTTTTCATCAAATTAAAAAAAAATCAGCAAGTTTTTTTTAATTTTTAATTCCAAGAGTAGAAAGCTCATTTTCACTTGTACCACTAAGACAGTTTCCGCGACTTAAACCGCAACGCTCTGCGATCACGGTTCCAGCTAGTGATTAACTGACCTAAATAGTCAGTCTGCGAAAACTTCGATTTGTTTAAATCTCAAGGAAGGTGTTACGATTTGCCAGGAAACAAAAAGGAAGGACGATATTTCGGAAATAGATCAGACAAACATTTGCATATTGTAATATAAACTGTAATATATTTCCTAAACTGTCATTCACTTAATACATTGCGGGAATAATAATTTTACGCTCTAACAAAATTTTTATGATTGAAGAAGACATAATATGTAGTTGAGGAAATTTTAATAGTTATATGCCACAGTTAAATAAAACATCTCAATATTTTTATGTAGCTATTATCAATAATTTGTGTAATGTAAAATAAGGCCAAGCGTACATTGGATTTTATGACAGCATACTAAAAAGAGTCTTTTTGCCCAATCATTTCATTAATAAATTCACCAAAAATATTCCCTCACTTTTTTAATTATATATTTTTAATGTAACAGTTTTAAAAGGCACTAGCAGAGCAACAAATTACTTTTTGTCATTCAAAGTTTGAAGTAACTAACGATTTATATTTGAAGATATTGTGTTTGCTCATTAAAAAACACAATGTCATTTACAAGCCTCTAAGAAACTATCTTCTATCCTCAAGAAATATCCTAAGTGCTAGGCGTATCATGGGTTAGAACACCGTTGCTATGGAGTTATATGTTGATAGATTTAATAGATAATTATATTCTATATAATTTATTCTATGCTTATATAATTTCCTATTATTCTATATATTTTTGGAACATATTTTTATAAATTTTTAGACTGCTTACATGCTGCAGAGAGAAATATCAAAATTATCATTCAATGTTTCCATTTATGTACTCCAAACAATCAATAACAAAAACTTATTTTACAAAAAAGCTGTTTTTATTAATTAATATTGATGTAAAATTTAAAACTAATTAACGAAGTGTTTGAAGCATACATTTCGTTAATCAATTAATAAAGTGCCGAACATTTAAGTCATGAAGGTTTTCCTGATTGGTTTTCCTTCAATGTAGTATTTTCATTAGGTTTTAAGACACTCATATACTGTATATTTTAAATTAATCTTAATTAATTTAATTAATATTTTTAATTTTAATATTTTTATTATTAAATTAATATTTTTAGTATACATTTTGACAGACTATCTTGTTATTGACATATTATAGAAAGATATATCTAACTTAACATTCAATATCTGCATTTCGTTGTACCCTAAAACATTAATTAGTGAAAAGTTTATTGAGCAAAAGTTATNAAAAAAAAAAGTCTTCCATGAAGGCAAGTTTCTCCCAATACTTGATCCGGGAATTCCCTTGTCTTTTACGGAGTTGTATATTGATAGATTTAATAGATAATTATATTCTATATAATTTATTCTATGCTTATATAATTTTCTATTATTCTATATATTTTTATAAATTTTCAGACTGCTTACATGTTGTAAAGAAAAATATCAATGTTTGCCATTTATGTACTCCAAACAATTATTAACAAAAACTCATTTTCAAAAAAGCTGTTTTTATTAATTAATATTGATGTAAAAATTAAAACTAATTACCGAAGTGTTTGAAGCATACATTTCATTAATTAATAAAGTGCCGAACACTTAAGTCATGAAGGTTTTCCAAAGTGTTTTTCTTTCTGTGTAGTATTTTTATTAGGTTTCAGGGTATTTACATACTGTATGTTTTAATTTAGTCTTTCAAATATTTTTAGGATACATTTTGACATATTATCTTTTACATATTATAGAAAGATATATCTAAATTATCATTCAATTTCTACATTTCGCTGTATCCTAAAACATTAATTACTGAAAAGTTTATTTAGAAACAGTTATTTTTACGAATTAATAATAGTATAAAAGTAACAAATAATTTATGAAGTGCTTAAGACTTCTAAGAATAACAAACCCTAAAAAAGAGAAATTTTTGAACTAGTTATGTAAAAGACTATAGAGAAAAAAAATTATTTTAGCGTCCCACTTATCTTTGGCATTGAGCCGGTCTATTAATCACGCCAAGAAATCAATAACCCTTTCCGTTTAATCAACCGTTATTTCAAATTACTCTGACCTTCGAGTGAAACTAGTTTTAAAATGCAAATGCAAAAAGCTTTTTCATATTTTTCTCTTTTGAAGTAATGTGTTAAGAAAAAAATTTTAAACCAGTTGGATGTAGGTTGAAATAGATACAAAAACAGATCCTCCCTGCTGCATTAAGAATATTTTTTTAAGTAAATAAATCAAATCTGGTTATTTTTTAAATGACTAGTAACTGGTTTGGCAGCCTGTAACACAGATACAATAAGCTTGGCACCTCTGCATTGTAATTTTGTGCCAATTTCTGACCGTCCTAAAAAAGGGCAGTTTAAAAATAAATGTGATTAATATTGATTGAGGAAAATGGTGTCTGAAAATTTGAAAAAAAAAAAAATATTTTGTATTAAATTGGGATGAGATTTTTTATTGAGTAAATTGAGCTAAAAAATAAATAAAAAGAAATGAATTTTAAAAAAAACCTACACATGACTGAAATGAAAGAAACACAAATATTAGTAAAAATATTCGAAAAATTACACGTGGCAAACGAAAAATCACACTGTATATACTGAATAGTTATTCATGGAATGGTGAGAAAAACTTTTGAATCGAAAATTTTTAATGAAGGAATTAAGCAGTTTCATACTTGAAAAATTTGACCTTTATGTTTAAATAGTTTCATTTACATGCACTTAATTTTTTAGATTAAAGCATATTATTCATATGTTTGCGTAACTATAGCAAACGTTACTATAATGTCTTACATGGCTAGCCAGTGAATAAAAGGAGAAAAGTACGAACGAAACGAATTTAAGAACCAACGAAATAATGAATCCAGGCAATAGCTGATCAGGGAATGGGTGTACTAATAAATCATAAAATCACTTTACAAATAAATAATAAAAACTAGTGAATCTGAAACTTTTGGTATAGTAGTCCAGTCAACGATCACAATTTTTTTTTTAAATTTTCGCAACATTATTGGAAGTGTGAGCATCAAAATCTCACATTGATAGAGCATAAAAAAAAAAAATCTAAAGTCTAGAATAGCTTGAAATTTGTTTGTATTAGTTATGTATTCTATATTTTCGATGTTTGATTTATTTTATTTTACCAATTTTTTTAAATTTTTGCAGGAAGTAAACTGGGGAAAATGTCCAGAACTACAGCCATCACAACAAGAACAGGTAAGATACTATTGGTCAACACTTAAAATGAAATTTTTTTTATTTAATTTGGATTAATGTATTGTTTTAAATCATAAAACCATTGTAAACATTTTATGAAATATTAGTAGCATTTATAAAAATCAATACAAAATTTGGATAAATTAAACCCATTCAAAATAAAAGTTATCATTCAGATCAAATTTCAAAATAAGTTAACGAAAAATAATGTTGAACATATGGAATAAACGTCACTATTACTATACTCCCTTGCAAGTTAAGAAAATACCATTGTAATATATGATTTAAGTGATCATCTGCAACTGCATTATTTCGCTATCAAATTATACAAATTTGCTTTCAAAAACAATATAAAAACTTTGAAAAGCTAACCATGTCAGACAGAAATTTAATTCGCGTGCTACCATTTACGATAACTATCATAGAATTATTTTAAAAAAAAGGTTATAGATTCGTTGTCATATTAGACTATAATAGATCCTAGCGACATATTTCCATAACTAAGGAGAACATTCGTTCTTGAATAAAGATACAATTACATGTCGTTACATGAACATTGGATTTGATTGGACCACTAAAAATGGCGAGTCTTATGCTGTCATACCTTTAAAAAATGAAGTTATAGATACAAATAAAGATATAGAGAATTTTTACTTTTGTTTGGCTGCAGAAGAAAATCGCCTGCAAAAAACAATATTTAAATGAGAGTTGGCGATGTTAATACGTGTTCGCACTGAGAGCTTGGCATTAACTTGGCGTCCACTTATATGCAAACAGATTCTCTCAATAAAGTTAATGGTTTTTTCTAAATTTGCGACAAAGTATAATGATGGTTTGCCTGTCGAGATAAACAAGAGGCCTACCATACCAAATAAATGCCATCATAGCCTTAAAAACCAACTAAAATCTCGATTTGCAAGCTTTTTTTTTCTTTCTAAATTAACACCTATGAAACACTAATTCGACATATTCTGGTTTATGGGACTGAATCCCTAGGTAGTAAACAAATTGCACGAAAAGAATTACTGACCTTTGAACGAAAAACCTTAAGAAAAATATTAGGAGCAGTCCACGAGAATAATAACTAGTGATTCTTGTTTAACTTTGAAATTTACCAAAAGTATAAGCAACCTGATATTGTAAAAATATGAAATTTAAAAAAAAAAATTAATGGTACAAAAACAATGTAATGAAAGAGGTCATATCACATAGCTTTGATTACACTAAAACATACAATTGCAAATGTTGATTTGAACTATTAAGTTACGTATTAACGCAGTTGTTTTTTGAATTGTTATATATAAAAATACTTTTCTTTTTCAATTAGAGAGCAAAAGGGGAAGTCATTCAACAATGTTTAGACAAAAACCCACCCCCTGCTGAAGGTGCAAGCCTTACACAGGTAAGAATTAAACTTATTACCATAACATATTTACCTACAATGTACAACCTCACAGCAGACTGCTAAATTAATGATGAATTTAAAAAATACTAAGGTATTAGTAAATTTTAAATTCTCATTTCTTGTGCAAGAAGTAACGTGAAATTAGTTTTGGGGATATATGAACTATATAGAAATAACTTGCATCTACTTTTATTGAAAAATAACTGAACGCGGGATGTTCTTCTAATGGCCGCCCTTACTACATAGCTGGAAGTTCTTTTTTAAACAAAGTAAACAGTCGTAGGGTCGCAAATCAATATTTCAGTGAGGAAAAAACAAAACCGTTGTCGAAATCTATCGAGTTTTTACTGAGGGATTGAAAATATTAAAACTTGTTTTGGATTTTCAATTAACGGTAGCGCTTAAAAAGAGCCATTCTCACTGTATGCGATTCACTCACCTCCTATCGCCGTCGAGGGAGAATCTAATTCGTGAAATATATTCCGGAAAAAATGTTCAACGGTGATAGGGGGTGAGCGAATCGACACCTTGATTCTGATGTAGTTTTAACGATATATTTTTATGTGTATAATGCTGTTATCTTGTGGAAATTCTGAATATTTTTATATTACTTATCTGGAAACAATACTAAGGAACAGTCATGTAAAAATGCCACGTATAAAGAAAAAGAGGTTTATCATTATGTAACCGCAAGGCCTTTCCTATTATCGTCATGTTTTCCATGCTGTTTTGCAGCTTGCACAAATAAATACAAAGCGGTTTATATATATTTCTAGTTTTGCTAGGCGATAATTTGATAAATATTTCAGCTATTAAGATCACTGCAGTGATTATCGATTACGCATGTAACGCCTATGCCTTACCAGGTCAATCATGCCAAATTTAAGTAACGCGGAATTATAGTAATTATCTTGTGAACACAGAATTTCCATAAAATATTGCAATTGAATGACGATTGCATTACTTGCTTCAACTTTAGTTCCAAGTCGTTAAATATGAAAGATATTAAGTCAAGCTGATGAAATCTCAGATTTCAGCTCTGGTAAATCACAACTTAAGGTGTTTGATAAATTTTATTTTGTTGCGTTCGAAAAAAAAATCTTTTTGTAAACATTTATTAATAACTTAATTCAATAACGGTTGGAAGTTTGAGCACCTTCAATATGCCTGCCAATGTCAAGAAGATAAAAAAAAAAATACTTCCTATTTTATAATTTCTTTTCTCCCTAACGCAAAACTGTTTGGGGATTTTTAGCGAAATTATTAGGGAAAATTTTGAAAGAGGCAATTTCACCGCCTTAAAATAAGTGTAATTTTTACGAACGATAAAAATTAACAATGGGAATTTTTTTTTAGTGTGTTTCGGTTCCTATTTTGAAACTAGAAAAAAAATATTAGAAAGCAGTTTTAAGCTATTTAATAAATAGTCATTGAAACAAAAAATAATAGATTGTATTTGAGAAGGATATACCTTCTACCAATGTAATTTATATCAGAAGTATAGTTAGAAACATTCCTTTTGAGAAGGAAAAAAAATATCGAATTTTAAGACTTAACTGTATCGTTTTTCTTTCCAGAGAAATCCGACACAATAAATACATTTAAAATAACTTCATACATATAAGTTCAGAATTAATAAAAGAAAAAAATGTAACATATTAACTTAACATGCAAATTAACATTGGAAACAGTGCTCTGCTCAAGGCGAAGATAGAACAACAGTAACCTTGGAATAACATTAATTTAGAATACACGAGTGACGATGTCGTGTAGATAATTTGTATCGTGTTTAACTTATCCCCTTGTCTTTATTGTTATCTTAAATTGTTCCGTCTTCTGCAGTGTGGGATTTAGGATTATATATTCAGTGAATTCATCAAGGCCAAGGTTAAAATTCAGATTAGGTTACATTCAGACGCTTATTACATAAATCAGTCTGAATTAATTCATATCAGGTTTTGTNTTTTCAATTAATGGAGACTTCTAAAGCGCCATTCTCGCTGCATGCGATTCACTCACCTCCTATCGCAGTCGAAGGAGGATGAGAATCTGATTCGTGAAATATATTCTCACCAATCAGGTGGAAAACGGTGATAGGGTGTGAGTGAATCGACACCTCGATTTTGATGAAGTTTTAAAGATAAATTTTTATGTGTATAATGCTGTTATCTAGTGGAAATTCTGAACATTTTATAGTACTTGTTTGGAAACAATACTAAGGAACAGTCATATAAAAATGCCACGTATGGAGAAAAGGAGACTTATTATGTAACCACAAGCCCTTTCGTATTATTGTCATGTTTTCTATGCGGTGTGTATCTTGCACAAATCGGCTTAAAAATATTTTTTATCGCCAGGATTAGTCCACCCTCTATTTCCAGTCTTGCTAGGCGATAATTTGATAAATGCCTCAGCTATTAAGATCACTGCAGTGATTAGCGATTACGCATGTAACGCCTATGCCTTACCAGGTCAATCATGCCAAATTTAAGCAACGCGGAATTAAAATAATTATCTTGTGAACACAGAATTTCCATAAATATTGCAATTGAGTGACAATTGCATTACTTACTTCAACTTCAGTTCCATGTCATTAAGTATGAAAAATATGAAGTCAAGCTGATGAAGTCTCAGATCTCAGCACTGGTAAATCACAACTTAGGCGTTTGATAAATTTTATTTTGCTGCGTTCGAAAAAAAAAATCTTTTTATAGTTGAAAATTTTTTTGTAAACATTTATTAATAACTTAATTCAATAACGGTTGGAAGCTTGAGCACCTTCAATATGCCTGCTAATGTCAAGAAAACAAAAACTCCCTAATTTATAATTTCTTTTCTCCCTAATGCTTAAGTGTTTGGGGATTTTTAGCTCAACTATTATTGAAAATTTTGAAAAAGAAATTTTTTTTTTCATCCCTAAAGCAAGTGTAATTTTTACGAATGATAAAAATTAACAATGGAATTTTTTTAGTGTATTTCGGTTTCTATTTTGAAACTCGAAAAAAAATTATTAGAAAGCTGTTTAAACTATGCAATACTTTTTAATAAATAATCATTGAAACAAAAAAGGATAGATTGTATTTGTTCTTCCTAATGCTATGTAATTTATATCAGAAGTATAGTTTAAAAATATCGAGATCTTAAAAATATTCAAGGAAAAAAAAATAATCGAATTTTAAGATTTAACTGTATCGTTTTTTTTCCAGAGAAATCCGACACAATAAATACATTTAAAATAACTTCATACATATAAGTTCAGAATTAATAAAAGAAAAAAATGTAACATATTAACTTAACATTGGAAACAGTGCTTTGCTCAAGGCGAAGATAGAACAACAGTAACCTTGGAATAACATTAATTTAGAATACACGAGTGACGATGTCGTGTAGATAATTTGTATCGTGTTTAACTTATCCCCTTGTCTTTATTGTTATCTTAAATTGTTCCGTCTTCTGCAGTGTGGGATTTAGGATTATATATTCAGTGAATTCATCAAGGCCAAGGTTAAAATTCAGATTAGGTTACATTCAGACGCTTATTACATAAATCAGTCTGAATTAATTCATATCAGGTTTTGTATTAATTCCAGACACACATCTATGAATAAAATCGCATGTAAAATTAGTTATATTTTTTAAAGTACTAGACCTAAGGTCTTATTGCAATCTATAATTTAAAAAATTGAAACATTATTATGAATGACTGCTGTCATCTAACGTTAAAGTAAAGGAAGAATTATCGCGATTCATAATGATTTGTTACCAAATAAAAAAAATCTTGATTTGTCTTAATTTTTCACGAAGTTAAAAAATGAAAAGGATAAGGAAAATAATCCAATTCGTAAAAATCGAATTTCCTAACAGAATTTTAAATAACTTAAGGTTATCTATTAAAATTATCGCAACTTATAATGATTAGTCTTATTTTAAAACTGGAAATTATTATGTAATCTTTCAATTTATTGAACCATTTTCTCGAAAAATTGACTTTCGTTCCTCCATATAAAGTGCCATTTTTAAATAAAATCGACAATTGCGTATTGTCTGTAAATTTTTTTAAACCTTTAGGCCAAAATCATCAATTAAATGCCTAATACGTGCTACCATTTGAAAGAAAAGAAAGTTTAAAAATAATTTATGCAAAAAATAAATAAAATAATAAAACCTGGGAGCTTAAGCATTTTTAGATTTACTGTGGGCTTTAATTTGTCAACTGAAATAAAATATTAATTTTAAGAAATTTAAAAAAAAATTAAAATCTAAAAAAGTAAACACGTTAGTTTTTAAATTCGTATTTAAATGAGGGAAAAAACAAAACCAGTTTGATTGCCTAATGAGACTTGAATGTGTTTCGATTATAGCTGCAATTTAATTCTTCTCATCTTCTAAAGGCAATCAATTTCTATCGTTTTTATCCTGTCTTCCTTGTTAATGATTTGACCGATTTTGATTTAAGTTTTTCAAAATCTGACAAACCATTTGTTTGAGACCTCTAATGAGTACTCTTATTACTTATTTTTTACAAGGATTTAAAAAATACACATTAAAGGCGTCAATTATCGTGGTACACATTGTATGCATAATTAGTTGTTTATAACTTTTTGCTTTAATGGAGTTGGTATTTATAGTGTATTTTAAAAATGTGTTGAAATAGTATTAAAGTGATAATTAATTTTCTTTGAACAGGAACAAATCGATGCCCACAGAGAAACTATTACCACCTGTGCATTGAAAACTGAAGGATGGGTAAGTTATGCTACCTACTGCAAATTTTGTGCATTCTAACTTCTGCAAAACGCCCAAATCTTGATCTCTCACTTTTCATAATTAATTATCAGATGTTATACAATGCACTCAGTTTTTAACAATAAGTTAAAAAGATAATAATCAGAATGTATTAAGATTAGTAGACTTTACAGAAGTTTGAAATGTATCATTTTCAAGAGACAGCTAAGGAAACAAAAATTAAATACAAACTTTATTTCTTTAAAAAGCAGATTTAAACAAATTATGTAACTATGAATTAAAACATCATTTATAGAAGAAATATTATAAATGATTTCAATAATTAAGACAAAATTACGTTTTAATGATTAGTTCAAATTTCAAAGGATTTAACTACCTGTATTTGGTATATACACAGAAATAAAACAATAAAGCTGAAAAGAAAAATTATCCAAAACCTAACTTGAATAATTTATATTTTTTCCCCAACGTCCAATTGATACTCGACATTCAAGTATCAGTAGGGCAGATTTGTTGGGCTTTCTTATAGGGGCACCATATTAGGTGGCCAACGTTGCTCTCACAGTAAAGACAGAGAGTACAAAGAATGAAAGAGCATCCATGCCTTGTCTGGGAATCAAACCCAGGAATTTTCTGATGAGAGGTCAGCTCCCTGACCACTACGGTCCAGTTGGCATTTTGTCACAAATAACTTTCATGTTTCATTTTATATTTATTTATGTTAAGCTTGAGGGAAATTAAAGGAAAGGACTTAATTATGCTTGAGGAAATTTTAAGATTTTATTAAAAATAATATGTAAGCAATCGATAAAATGTAATGTTTGCCATCTTTGAAGATTTTAAAATAATACAGTAATAATTGAATTTGTAGAACTGGCATAAGTCAGGAGTTTATATAAAGTTAAAAACAAAAAGAGAGAGAGAGAACACTACTATTAATTATAAACAAATATTTACAAAATAATAATTAAAAAAAGAATTTCATTATAGGGTAATTCTTTATCTTATGCAAATAAGTATTCAAAATAAATATTTTGTAGCATTAAAGAACAATTTTATGTCTTTCAAGTAGCAATTTTCTTTTCTTATTGACCTGTGAATGATTAAATCAAATTTACTTTTCAGTTTGGATCTGACAACAAATACAACTATAACCGGGCCAGAAAAGAAATCCAATCCAAGAACATGAAGGTATGATATATTTTAAAAATCTCGTAACAAAATGTTGTTTTGCTGTTTACTACATGGAATTTTTATAGAAAAGTATGCTATGAAAATGAAATAATTTAAAAAAAAAAATTTGATGATTACTCAGAATTTTATAAACATTTTTTCAACTATTTTACTAAGCAAGGTTGGCACAATGAGCAAATTCTCCTTTTTTCTTCATAGTAAATAAGTCCCAAAAATAAACAATTTGAAAAATCAATTGCAAGTAAATAACAGACGACCCTTTAAAATGGCTATTTGGTTATCACACTTAATTCAGTAACAGTACTAGCATATTGAATCGCTCCATTTTTTCCAAAATATCCTAAATTCTTGAACTATTCTATGTCTGGAAAAAATAGACATGAGCTGTAACAATACAATTGCACTTTTTTTAAATTTTATTCTTACTCTAAAATTGATTCACTTGCACTAGTTACTATGTTCAGAATAGCTATGCTTCCTATCTAAAATATCATAGACCAAATTTCATTGATTATGATGTAACTAATGAACACAATAAACAATGAAATATACTAACAGTGGTTCTTTGTCTAATACTAATAATGAATATCAAATTTTTTATTGGGTAAATGAAGTAAGAGTTAATTGCATTTCAAATTTGATTTTATCAAAACTGTTTGGAAAAAAAAAAGATGAAGCTATTTTTTATCTAACAAGAAATTGTTTTTTGTAAAATATGAATCAAAGCAAAACTCTAAAACAACTACGAAGTTAGATTTAAAATATTTGTTGCATTAAAGATTAGCCATTTAAAAAATTTTTTTTAATAAGAAATAACAGGGAAAGAGTTTATACATATTTATTTCATAATTTAATTAATGTATATTTTTCCTTTTTAAAGTAATTTTACATAATTTTATTTTTAGCCTCAAGACCAGATCCTGTCTAAACATGATGAATGCAGCAAAGAAGCAGTAAGTATACTTCCTGAAACGAAATTGATTCACAATAATTGAATGCTTTTGAAAAATTGTTAAACATATTTTTACAATTATTTGCAATTTACATACACAGGTATAATATTGAGAAAAAGAAGATAAACGCATGAAATAAAATTTTAAAAGAAACAATACAAAAGACTATTATTGAATACAGCACATTTTTACTTAAGTCCTACTCCATGTGATGAAGAGTATCAAACTAAAGCTATAAAATAATAATTTATAAGAGAAACGAGGAATAACTAATAGTAAAATAAGTCAGAAAATGTAGCGTTTGAAAAACATAAAAATTTTTTTGGAATGTTTATAACAATGTTTTAGTTAAATAAGATTCGTTATATGACATAAAACTATTATAATAAATATAAAAGACTTAGATAACACAACTGATCATCGAACTTCAGCTTTATTGACAAAACCTTTCATTTTGCTCATTAATTTTTGTAAAGTTATTCTAAAAAGGAACATTTAAAGAATCCAAAATATCAGCACTCTATCCAAATTTTCAACAATCCATGGATTTAAAATTTTAAAAGTGCAGAATAGAAAATTTATGGCAATGCGGCTATTTTTCAACATCCCCAACAAAGTTTTATTTAAAAAAAAAGAAGAGTAGAATGATAAAAAAAGAAAAAACTTGTGGATCTAAAAAAGAATCTTACACCTTAAATATCAAATAAAGTTTTAATAAATATATTTATAGTATATTATGTTAACTAAATACACAAATTCCTTTTGCAGCAAGAAAACTTCCCAGATAACAACATTCCTCAAGTTCAATTGTACCAAGCATGCATGGATTACCACATTACCAAGGTAAGATATTTACTATGCATCAAGGAAAAAACATCGCTTCAAAATTATCTTGACAGAATGAAAAATATTAAACTTTTACACTTAATCAAAGAAAAGTTCTAACTGCATACAGTAACAAGTAAATATCAGGACTTTTTAGCTTGCAATATAAAATCGAATTTCAAAGTATGGTTCATTTAGTAATGCAGGGTTATATCAAAATAACTTATTTTTTTACTCCAAAATGAGTGTTCAAGTATAAATAACTAATGAAATATTATTTCAGACCTTTAACTAATATATTTCCATACACTTTTTGATTATTTTTTTTCGCCTAAAAGTCAAAACAATCTTTAGATAACTAAATTCAAAATGGTAACTAATCGACCTATTTAAAAACTAGGAATCAAACACAAGCTTATTTATGCAGAAGTTTAAGAGAAATATTCTTTGAATAAACTAAACATTAAAAAATAAATGAATGATAAAATTTAATGCCTAAAAGTATTAAGAGACATTAAACAGAAAGTTTTGAAATTAAAACATGCAGAAAAGTTTTTCTCCAAAAAATTCACCCATTGACTTGGCATGAGAAGTTAATACGACATAACATGCTTAAAACTCAGAAATTTTTAGTGTTTTCAAAATTATACTTAACATGTGTTTGTTATTGAGTAACTAATGTAATTTTTTATGTCAGAATTCCAGGTAGCATTGTGGCACAAATGATCATGAATGTATGTTTACTAAAGACAAATGATAAGCCAAAAAATTAACGAATAGTTAGTTTTGGCACATAAATATCAAAACATATAATTTTATTTTTATTCGAACTATGAGATAAATTACCATGCCAGATTGGTACTTTAAAATTGCTTAGTCAGCATATTGCTGTTACGAGTTACATTACTTTTCTGTTACATTCTTTCTATAGTTCAAAAATATTTTATTTTTTACAGATCTGTGACATTAAAATCACTCCTCCCGCTGGTGCTGAAGCTTCTGCATCTGCATAAATCTCAACTTAAAAGTAAGCAAAGCAACCAGAAATTTCATAAAAATGACAAATATTTTTACTATGAAAATTTTCTAACAACTTTTTTTTTTACAGTTCAACTCCAGTAAAGAAAAAAAAGAAAGACCATCTATTGAAGATAAATAAAGGGCTTGAAATTTAAAAAACAAAACAAACATTTTTGTGATAAACAAATCATATGCTGGATTGGAAGGAAAGGTCTTTTAAAAAAATTGCAAAATTGAAAATCATTTTTATACAATTTTGTTAGAAAAATCCATATTTTTGTATGATATACACACATAGATAAACATTTGTGATAAGAGGTGAGCTGGAGACATTTTGTGATGTTAATAAACTGTCCTTTTTTGTTCCTAAACATTAAAGTTTACTTTATTTACAAACACAAATATACATAGAATTATATATAAAAACATGTTATAAATAGGTACTTTGAGCATTTATGCATACGAAAGATGTTCCAAAAGTGTAAGTTTTATTACAAACTAGTGAGCTGCGCCCCCTGCTCGCTAACGCTCGCCAATCCCCGAAAATTTCTACGCAATCTTATATGGTTTGCTTCCCAAACCAAATGTGCTATAGTATATAATCTTAAGATAAAATTTCTAAAACTGATATCTCTTTAAAAAGGTTAAAATTTTGGCTATAATTAAGTCTAATAAAAATTGAAATAAGTGAATTGCAATGGAAAAACTTGCATAAACAAATAAATTCGTAATATAAATCAAAATTCGCAATATATAAATTCGTGAAAAAAAGAGCTTTCGACAAAATACTAAAATAGAGATCTATCAACAAAGACTACTCACTTCTGCCTAGCTTAAGGTTATTTCAGTTTCCGTTTCTATAAGCGCTATATGTTGAGCCATCTCGGCTAGATTTGGTATGTGACATTTTTAGCAGCAATCATTGGTCGATTTTCTAGCGTTGCCATTCTGGGAGTTGTAATGAGGCTTTTTTTGTCGCCGTGTAAGAGAAATATATATAGATAAAAAGTGTGTAATGGTATTACACAATTTTGGCCATTTTTTAAAAATCTTCTTAAACTATTATTCTTATCAGATTTTCCACTAAATAACACATAAAGTACTTGTCTCCACACAAGGTGTAGGCTGGTCGATTTCTCCCCTCACACTGACTACAGAACAGGAATAAATTAATGAAATCAAATTTAGAAATTCATCCTTGTAAAAGTTAGTATCTAGTAATTTAAAATTTTTTTATGACAGCTTGCTAGTTCTCATCATGGCTTTAAATACTAAATCAAGATAGTACTAAATTTAAAACGAAAAAGTAAAATTCTGGTGCTGCAGGCTAGATGATTTATTGGTTATCTCATTTAAGGGAACATCAATGAACCACACACCAATTAGTGCATTTAAAAGAATAAACAAATTGAAGTCTGCCATTCAGTGCAGGAGTCTGAGAACCTTATTAAAAGACCCCAAAAGGATACCAAAGAATGCATTTTTTGTTTTAGGTGCAAGAGATAAGGTTAACTAACTCAATTTTGCCCTTGAGGTCTTTCTAAACAAGATCACCAGACTCCCATCATTTTATTGAAATTTGATTTTTGGGGAGCAATTTTGGAACCAATAAATTACTAGGCACTGATTTTTATAGGGTAGTTACTGAAATTAATTTCACATATCAATTTCTAATATGCGAAATATCCAATATACAATTTGCAAAGATGGAGCTAAAGTTTGTAATAAAGCTTCTCTGTGAAAAAGTATGATAAAACTTACTTTTGGAATGTCTTTTGCATGCAAACGAAAAGAAAATGGAATTTTACAAATAATAAAATTTAATATCAAGATTCTCCAAACACATTATAAAGAGAAACTTTGAGCATGTCGATATGACGTGACAAAAGTTCATTTTTGGTAGTTGACTCATCCAATGCTTCCTGTAAATCTTTTGTTCTTTTTAGCAATTTTTCAGATTCCTAAGTTTAAAATAAATACTTTAAGAATAATCATACAGTAATACAAAATTTGAAACAAATATTCATAAGAATAAAAACTAAATCACTTGGCATTTTTAAAAAAATTGATAGATTTTTTTTCAGAAAGTCAGATTTCACTCTCATTGAAAGTTTTATCCAGAGTAATATTTTAGGTATTGCCTAAATTATTATTTGATGTTAAAAATAGACTAATGAACTAAAAAAAAAAGGAACAATTAGAAATAAAAGTGACTAAAATTTTAAAATCATAATTTTCCATTAGTTGTATAAAAAATAAATAAGTGTTTAATATACACATTAAAACTTATATCAATTGATTTTTCACTTACATGTATGTAAGTATTTAAAAACAGCATAGAAATTAACCTTTTCAACTACTTCACAAATAAAGTATTTTATTAGTTATCACAAATAAAATATTTATGATTATTTTACCTTAGTTTTTAGATCTGAGAACAGCAAATTACAACAGATATTTTAAAATGGCAATGTAGAACAAATTTTCCAAAAATAGACAAAACTGATAAATTTGCCACTTCTTTAATAATGGGCTCTTTTTTTAAAGTTTAAAAATATGTAAATGAAAAACATTTAAATTTTCTTAATATAGACTTAAAAATAGAATTTAATATGTTGATACTTTTTTGGGACGAATTTTACATGATTAAATAGGATACATATAGAATTATATAAATAAATAGAAAAAAAAAAACAAAAAAAAACACACACTTCTTGCTTTCTCTGCTCCAGAAGTGAAAGTTCCAACTTCTTAGATCGCAGTTCATCTTCTAAGCTATATAGCCTAATAGTTTCCATTTCCTAAAATAAATAAATAAAAGAATATTTTGTGTTATACTTTCGAATATTTCAAATAGATTTTAAAACACACTGCACTACATTTTATTTACTTAAATCAGGGTATCTGCTACACTTTAGATTTTCAAATTCATGACTTTCCATGACTAATTTCAAGAATTTTTCATGACCTAACGAAGTTACTATTTTCTCTGACAAAAACACAATAAATTCAAAAAAGCATTATAATATTAATTGAAACTATATGTATAACCAAAACTGTTATACTCTGCACCTTCATATTTATAGATTTCAAATTTAGAAAGCAAAGTAAAGAAAGAATTGAAGCAATAAAACAGCTGAAAAAAATACAAAAAGCAAAAAAAAAATGTTTTTTTTTTCCTTCCATTTTTCTGCAGAATTATATTTTAAAGATACTTTTCTTGTGCATTGGAAAGGAAAGAAATACTAGTGATTTTTCTTTTCTCATTTCGGAATTAAAAAAAATTCGCCAATGACTGGCTTGCTTCAGCTAGAACTTGAAACTGATAAAAAAAAAATAAAACAAATTCTGAAATCACAGAAGCTTAAAAGATAATTCACTCTAGAAATAATGTTTTTTCTTTCATTTCTTGAAAGAGCACCACAATTTTTAAAGAACATGATAAAGAAAAATAATATTTTAATAAAATGTAAGTGGGGAGTTAGTTACAAATTAAGATATTCAGAACACCATGAAATTGGGGGGGGGGGAGAAANAAATGGGGGGGGGGGGATTCCATTTCAAGAATCAGATTTTTCGGCGACCAGCTAAAACCAGATTTTTCGGCTAAATCCATGACTTTCCATGATTTTTTAAAAAAATAGTTTGTTATTTTAGTTAGTGGCTGTCATTAATTGTTTTCACACTGGTGACGAGGTGAGAGAAATTTGTGAAATTGTGACAAGAGGGAATAATGGTTTAACAATGAGTGGGACATTACTTAATTTTCTTATTAAAATGAAGATTTTTATTAAATTAAAAACAGCTGACTTAATATTTTTAAATTTATTTAAAAATATTTTTTTCTGTTGACTTTGTTTTGTCATCCATTTCTTTTTTTATTATCTCATCAGCCCTATATGGGTCTTACTCAGGATCTTTTTCCATTCTACTCTCTTCCTCACCGGGGTTTCCCAATAGTTTATTTTTAGTGTTTCGAAATTTCAACTAATGCAATCAACCCACCTTGGCTTGAGCTCGCTTCTGGTTCATGCTTCAATCAGTTTAAAATGAAAGACTCGGTTGAAGGAGAATAAACCCATTTGACCGATGCCCTTTATTTTGATGCGGTTTACTTTAAAATGATGGACAATATCTGAATCTTCATACAGCCTGTAAAGCTCATTATTGTATCTGAGCCTAAATGTACTAATTGTCATTAACTGCATCAGAATCTCTTTCAAAATTTTTCTCTAAGATTGATAGCTAGTCTATTTTCACTTGATTTTGTCATAGACCAGTTTTCTAAGCCATATATGAGCCAAGGTCTAATGATAATTTTGCATAACATTTTTGCTATCCACTTTATTAATTTTGATTGAAGAAAATTTCTTAATCCATTGAGGCAATGATTCGCAGCAACAATCTCTGTATCTAAATTGTTCTCACTGCTCACATTACAGCCATCGTCAAGATAGAATTTTTAATGTTCAATTTGTAAGAAATTAATATCCTTGTTTATTTTATTTAAAACAATTTCATAAAAGAAACAAATAATAAAAAAATACTAATTTCATATTAACCTCCATAATACCGTTTTCAATTGCTCTTTTATCTTAATGTTTTACTATAGTACAATATTTCTTTTTAAATTTTTTTTAATGGAAATAATCTTATTTTACACAAAATAAATACACAGATTGTTGTATTCACAACTCACATTAAAACACATAAAGTTTAAGAATGAAATTCAAAATATTATTTATAACTTAATGTTTTGAGTTTACTGCAATACTATATATATACGTAAAATAGTGTGACATGCAACAGAAGGGTAAAGGGTAGGGTGATGTGTGACACTTTGTAGCAAAGAATTAAAAAAAAATTCAAATAATAATAAATAAAAAAACGTGATATAATTCTTGGACAGCTTCCAAGTCACTACATATATAATTATATATCGATAAATATTCCTTGCTTTTTTGTAATTTAAATAAATATAAGTGAAATAAATTGTTGTACATTTTATTTTGTCAGCGTTAATTAAAACAGCTTTTGCAGACCTATTCATAAAACGAAAAAAGTATATTGTTATCAGCCTATCAAATTTCTCACTCAGTCAAGATTCTTATTTGTTATACATGTTATGAATCATATTAAATTGGGTGGCCACAATTACTCAGAAAAAAAGTTCCATGACTTTCACCAGATTTTATCAAATGTTCATGATTTTTTTTGGCACTCAGAAAGAATCACAGAGTGAGTGAAGGGTATTGTTGAAATACAAACAAATATCAACATTAAAATGCATTTTGTAAAGCAAAACATACCTTTTTATGCAATTTATCTTTAATTTCCTCTAACTGGCTTTCCAAATTCTTTTTTTGCTGTTTATATTTCTGTATTTCTTCACTCTTAAGTGCTAACTGTAACTGAAGAATGCATAAATAGACACACGACATATTGAACAAAAAAATTCAAATAATGAAATAAATAAAAAAATCTTACTTTTAAGTCTCTTGTGAGAAATTTAGACTCCAAATCATTTGTAGAGTAGCTAAAATAATAAGTTATAGTTAGATAAACAGTATACTTTACAGAATAAATTGAAAAGCATGTTTTAAACTTATCATAAATTTTTAACTACAATCTTTACAAGTTAACAAAACCAGGGTATTTTATAATCAGGACCCTTAGCATATATCTTTATCCTTATCAAAGATGAAATGAAACAAAACATAGAAAATAGATTTCACTAATTAATGTAAGTGAAAATAAACAAACCCCCTATCAAAATTTTTCAAATCAATATTGTAGAAGGCAAGAAGAAAACCAGGTTGATTGTCTAATAAAACTTACAAAATAAAAATAGGAATCGAGTAAGTAAAGTTTTGATATTGAAACTGATTTGTCTTTTTTTCATCTCAGCATTTTTCTCCCCTTTTTTAAAAAAAAAAAATGATCTAAGATAAAAGAAATAATTTGCAGACGCTGAAAAAGTCTGCAGCGCTTATATATATATATATACACATATTAATAAAATTTTTGATGTTTCATAAAATTTAATTTAATGTTAATAAAAATGAAAACATTCTGTTTTAAATTATTTTATTTATAAACTCAATCAGGCATTTGTTGTAGTAAGAGTTTAAATGCTTGTAGATAAGTGTATATCAATATTTCTAAATTAATAATATACAGACATATAATACACTCCCAGAATAAATAAGAAGCACATTAAGACAGAGACAGAAAATTAAAAATACGTAATGCAGGAGAAGATATTATGTAGTGTGACACTAATCTCACAGTTGTTTTCAGGATGAAATTTTTACTTACGAATACGTTAAATAGCTTAGTTATTACAATTAAAATTAAAAACTTTTGGTGTCTAAAAAGTTGATTTTTTTTAAGTCCTCAAACATGTTAAATAAAGCACAATTTAAATAGTTTTGTAAAAGTTTAAATGTGCTTGAGACCAGTTATACACTTATTAGAGTAATTTCAAATTGAAAGGCAGAGTCTTTGCATATTTTGCACCCACGAAAACATTTATGAAACATTTGATCGTCACATAGGTTGCATTATCCGCTCAATTATCATTGTATATTTTTTTAAGAGATAGTTTAAACACCCCTGTGGCAGAATTTTTTAAAACTATCTGTGACAAACATATCTAGCACTAATATCTTTTTGCAAGATAATTTTAACTATAGCAAACCTATATATTACGAATTTAAAATAACCAAAGTACTGTGTTTAGAAAAAAGAACTATATAATTTTTTTTAATTGAACACGTAATAGTTTTTTTTTCTAATATTATGGGTGATATTCTTGCATTTTAATTAGGGGGGACGCACACATTATTTCTTTTTTTGCATTTTGTAAGTAATCACCACAATAAATAAAAAATATTTAAAAGTCATGAAATCAGCAGTAGTAATTGCCGAAAAAAAGATCCACAACAATTCACACAACTCAGACTTCTCAAATGTGCGTTTCATTTCGAGATTAGGTTGTTATAATAAATAATTTCGTCTAAAAAATATTGTATTAAAAAATTATGGAGAAAACAATTGCAATAGCTGCCAAAAAATTAGATAGAATTATTGCCTTAAAAAGTAAATACTCAAATGCACAATTCAAATTTTCCATAATGTTTGAAATATATCGGGATAGTTGAAATTCACTTGAAAATCAATATCAATCACAGCAGAAAATACAATCGAAACATTACATCGATTTACGGTACTATCGGCATGAACTAAGTTAGTCAAAATCTAAATGCATGATTCAAATGCTATGTGCAAATTTCTGTAGAAAAGAAAAGTAATTTTATTTTTTTAAAAAACTTTTCGAAAGAAAAATATTTCTGCGAGGACTCTGTAGCGTTCAGCAACAATGTCGCCAAGTCGCTGTGGTTCTGCCATGGGGTTAAACACAAAACACATTTTTTTCCAAAACCCGGAATGCAAATAGATATATAATTACTCTCATGATGTAAGTTCGAATTTGTTGCAGATTTGTAGATGACATCTATTGTAAATCTAAAACTATTCCAACGTCAATCCCGCCACATTTGAAAAATAAATAACTAAAAATAAGAAAAATAACAAATTGAGAGCAAATTGATATTGGTTCACTATTGATAATTGACTCACTATTTCAGAATATTTTCAATTAAATCCACATTGATCGGAGAATTATTGCGGAAAGTTCGCATGAAAATGAAATCAGATAGAAATGTACCATCATGATCATTTAACTTTTAAACGCAGATAGGCTGTGGGCTATCGATTTAGAATTACTGTATTAATTGTATATAAGTACAGTGGAGCATCGTTTATATGACCATCACTTATATGACGTTTACATTTATACGATGTTTTAGTGTGGTCCCAAATCATTCCTATTCATTTTAATGTAAAAGTATATTGTTTATACGACGCACAGAATCGGTTATACGTCGGGTTTTAGATTTTGTTCACGTTTATTTAATTTTTCTTGTGTATTTTAAAAAAGGGCGGAATTTGCCGACATGAATGATACAGAAAAGGGTGCCAACAAGAATGCTTGGATGACGACCGTAATTTTTACTAGATGACTGAAAAAACTAGACAATGTTATGAAGAGGCAAAAACGAAAAATTTTGCTATTCATCGACCAATGTCCAGCGCACCCATCGATACTAATTATTTTGGAAAATGTAAAAGCTCTCTTTTTTCCTGCAAATTGCACAAGTGCGCTTCAGCCATTAGATTTGGCCGTGATTAGAAATCTAAAATTGCATCATAGAAAGCAGTAACTTCAACTCGCTATTCAAAGCATTGTAGAGACTAATAGCAAGAAAATATAATTAAAGGTAACATACATTCAAATTGCTCACTGAAATTTTCCTTCTTTGGTTGTTTGTTTTGCTTTGTCTAATTTAGAAATTTATGTAAATCAACACGTTAAACATTAAAATTAACTGAAAACAGAGTTAGTTTCAGTTTTAGAAGTAAAAATCGATTATACGACGTTATCGTTTATATGATGTTTTTTGGTGGTCCCTTCGCCGTCGTATAAACGACGCTCCACTGTATTAGATTAGAATAAAAAAGAAAATATTTTACTTTTCATCGAGTGCATATTGTGAAAAAGTTGATGAATTTTCCATTTCTTTCAACTGTTTTTTAAGAGCTAAATTTTCCTCAGATGTAGCTTTCAGTTCTTGCCTTAATTCTTCCAATTTAGTTAACTATCACAAACAAAATAACAAAAATGAATAATAATTAAATAATAATAAAGTGCATATTACTAAAAATTAAATACATGGCAATGAAATTATAAACTGAACACAAAATAAGAAACACATATTTTTAATTATGTCATCAGCAGGAAAACCATAAATACTTCCTGGACCAAATTCTAAAACCCAAATAATTGGGTACCTCATTTATAAAATTAAAAAATAAATGAAAATTGATATTTGCGAGTTTTTAGAGCACATCATCAAAATTTCTAGCAACCAACAAGAATTATTTCTTGCAGAAATGAATATACATTATCTTATTCTTGAAAGTTATTGATTATTAACATTTTATCTTTATTTATTTTTTAAAATATATACACAGGGCTACAAAAAAATAACTTGGCTTTATACATAACAAAATTTTAATATCACAACAAAACGTTGCAAACAAACAAGGAAACATAACTACAAATGTTTTAAGTGGTCATATTTGGTCTTTATGCAGAGTTGTAAGTGTGTGAAAAAGTATGAGGAAACAAATGAAAAAGGAAAGGTCAGTAGGAAGCCTCTGGACTTATTATTTTCTTTTTTTTTTAATTGCAGGTAAAACTCTTGAATGATTATAATAAACTTGAATCATTAATTTTATTCTTGCTTATTTATAAACAATCTGAATTAGAAAAGTATATAATTGGTAACTAATAGATATATTGAATTGTACCTTTTGATACAGCACTCATAAAAAATTAATTTTTGAATATTTTCAAATTAAGATATATTCTAAAAACAAAGTTAAGATTTCTTTTTTTTAAAAACACCATTATTTTTTAACTGGATTATTTTCAAATTCATACATAAATTCAAAATATTTTTTTCTGTGTAATATACATTTTGAAGAAAATACTTACAAGCTCTGATTCGTTAGACTTGTCCTGCTGATTTCTAGGAACGTCATGTCTTTTTATTTCTAACATTTCTCTTCTCATATCCTGTAACATCGCTACAACATTTTCAATGTCAGGATTTTTCTCCTAAAAAGAAATTTTAATATCAAATGTAAATTAGAATTTCCGACATATAAGACAATTTCTAAAGAATTGGACACAGATAAATATATGTGCTTTATATAAACAAAAGTAATATAACTAAATGAACCAAGAAAAAAAAGAAACTGAAAAAAAAGGAGAGAAAACCAACAATATTCTGACAAAGTAAACTAGGTGAAGAAACCAATTATTTGTTACAATGTAACAGTTTCATGTTACACTTTGACTATTTTAATAAATAATCTTCTATGATTTTAAATTCTTTTCTTTTTCAGGGTTGCCACTCAAATCTGGAGGGAAAAAAATTCACTGTACGTATTATATACAATATATTAAAAGGGAAAACACAATCACTGTACATATTATGAGCTGTCTTGGGGCTAACTATACTAGTTATAAATGCTGAAAAAATTTAAGGAAAAGAGGAACAGCTGAACAAACAAATAATGCAGTAAATGAACTAGTTTAATATAGCTGAAATATTCCACAGATTACACTTTGAGTGGTTACCATTTTTCAAAAGACGAAAATAACAAACAAAATTATTTTAGCTGATTTTTAAATTCCTTGTATTGTCCCCATGGAGTGGCTGTTTTTATATCACAGAAATATGCTTGTACAGTTGAACAGAAGTTCATTATTTTTTACTAAATATACAAATATCCATAAGTCATAAAACCAGTTATAAGAGTAGTTTCTCAGCAGAAATTAGTGAAGAACCAAACATTTCAAAATAGAGTATTGGTACTGATCCTTATGCATTAATGATTCAATCAAATGCTGAAGCATTTGAAAGGAGTCAAAGAAAAGAAAGTTGAAGAAAATATTCTTAAATATTTTCTCTTTTTCAGATCAAAGAGAAAGACTACTTAAGGACTGAGAAGATTAAAACGAATCTTCAAACATGCAATTCGGATATCTAAAATAAAGAAACCTCTAAGATCTGGACATTTTAGAGAGGAAAAAAAAAGAAGCTAAATTAAGTTCAACTTTATTTAGCTTTAAGCAGAAATTTGACTGTTGTAATAATATCACATGGAAAAAAAATAATTAAAAAAATCAGGTAGAAATTCATAGCAGTAACTGTTGAAAACCTCATCAAAACAAGGTTATATTATGCAATAATCGTTTGAAAAACAGTAAAAAATCATGTAATTTATGAGGAAAATGATAGATTAAATATGTAATCTGAAATTTGTGGTAATAAAATACCATTAAAATTTTACGAATTGTATAAAGGATGCGGAAATCCTTTGGAATAATTGTCAAGAAGTGAACAACACAGTGTTTTCACTACAGTGCGAGAACGCGAGAATCTCGCATATTTTTTTCTTTTCTCGCATTAAAAAATGATTACCGCGAAAAATTCGTGCATTCTATAAATCAATTTCAAAATCCGCGAATTTCTCGCATTTTNGGATGCGGAAATCCTTTGGAATAATTGTCAAAAAGTGAACAACAAGACAGAATTTAAATAGTCTTGAATTGTGTATATGAGAAATAAAAACTAATGGGGTGATTAGAAATTTGTGAGTTGCAATATTGTATTAAAATATTAAGATTTAAAAAACCAGGAGGAATTAAACGAAAAACTGACAAAAATTTTGACATATAAACTGTGAGGCTTAAAGATTGAATTGAACACTTAAAATCTATTGATTTAAAAAGTTATAAAATTCAGACTTTCAAATTCTTTATTAAGATATACCGTAATTTTTTCCAATATCAATAAACCATACTATAACAAAGTAGTAGGTTGGCATTCAAAATGATAAAACAAGAGTTTCACACAACCTGATTTGGATCAGCTGGGGGTAGCATAACTAATAAATTAGGGTAAAATTTACTTATAGTAAATAGGAGGGAGGTTAGGAAGAACAGATAAATTATACCTATTTCCTTTATTTATTTTTGAAATGCAGTCACTTTTATTTATTTTTACGGGAGTACAACATTATTAGTTACATGCTCAATGTGTTGATCAAGACAGAAAATGAAAGGTTTCAAGATTAACTTGAAAAAAAAAACACTATCTTTTCCTGGAAAAAAAGGCAGTTCCTCCAAACTATTGAAAACCTATATTCTACATTAAGGCTACCCATATATTTTAAAGGACACGGATTGAAATCTGCCAGGAAAAAAAATTGTTTATTCAGAAAAAAAATATTTTTGTATCGGACTTCTCAATATCATCTGCACTAATCAATTAGCATATTTACTGTCAAGTTTTCTAATAATTAATATTATATCTTAGTTAAATAAGATAATCCCATCATTAAAATAAAATTTTTTAAGGTATATCATTTATTATTTGGTGATTTGCACAAGCAATGTCTTTAACACAAATCAAAAAATATAATAAAAGCTTTTAATATAAATAAATAAATAAATGACATGCATTTTTTGAATTATCACCAGCTGAAAATGCAGCAGGAGTTTTGAAATTTTGGAACTGTTCTTTCGTATCTTGTAATAATGATGTCAAGCTTCTCACTTCATCAAACACTTTGTCCACGCTGTTCTCCTGAAAACAAAATAGGCAAATAAAGAATAAGCCATTAACATGTGCTAAGTTGTGACGGAATTTAAATAATAAAATCTATTTATTTCAAGGAAATTTTCTTCATCTTTACATTTATGATTGATTTGTTATTAGCTCTTTGTAAGAATTTAAGAATATATAAGTTTTTGGTATAAAGTACAAACAATGTTTTAAATTTTAAGAAAAAGATATGTTGAATGTTTAAAATATTGAATTTTAAACTGCTTTAAGAAATAAGCAAAGAAAACTTTTAATTTAACCGTCAGAGCAAATGGGATATTTACTACTCAATCTGGTTGCTTTCCTCCAAAACAAACAAATTTTTTTCCTCATCACTTAATAAGAAAATAGCACAAAATAAGAAACAATTCTATTCAAAGCTAAATCGTTGCTTAATGCAAAACATGGAAGGGAAAGATACACAGTACATATTTATAACATTAAAATATAATTAGATAATATATTCTGCATTAATAAAATTGTAGAAAATAAAATACATTTTGAGCTTGCAGAAGAGAGGCTTTTATGCTATCATGCCTTGATTTCAAAATTTCTGATTCTTTAATAGTCGAACTTAATTCTTCTTCTAAATGTTTTATGGTATTCTGGAAAAAACAAAATTGATAACAAAAAAATATTAATAATATATTAATAAATATAAATTGATGCTAAAAAATCACATTACGAAAATTATTAATTTAAGAAGGCATTCTTTCTTTACATGATATACAATCAATGCTCTTTATAACCATTCAATGCAGTGATGATTCCATTATAACAACCGATGCATAAAGTATTTTGCCCTGTTTGCTATTCCATAAAAGCAATATTATTAAAATACTCACTAGAGCGTCTGTACTGAACTATTCATTCCAATACAACAATTTTGCAAAAAAGTGCGAAACATGCTTATGTTTTCAAAAGAAAAAGAAGTTTTTATCAGAAATAGATTATTTGATTTAACAAAATTTTCAAAAATATTATTTAAACAACTATTTTCTTAAAGTTATTGCACATCAAATGTAAATCAGCTTGAATTCTTTTTGAATGAAGAAAGAGCAATATAAACTTGCCAGCAAAATATGGATTACTTCACATTGATGACCAAAAAAATAGAGAAAGTTTTTTAGAAAATTTATGAACTCTTTTTCAGAAATATTAGTTCCTAAATTTATCATTTCATCAAAATTCAAAAACAAAATAAAATGTACAGTAGAAAATTCTAAAAGTGTTATTTTATAAGACAGAGTTAACAAAGGTGATAATCTTGGTAGAGACTGATATCAAAAATAAAAAGTTTATTAAAATTAAACCTAACTTAATTATTTCAGTATGCAATGGCACAAGCATATTTAAAATAAGTACGAATATGTTGTGTAGTTGCACAACCAGCCATTTCCACAAGTTTTGGAAAATAATAATGAAACTTAGAAAGAATGTTTCGAAATAAAATCTAAAAGTTAAATTGATCACCACATTCATAATTTATTTTTACTGAATCTATATTTGACATTTTATTTAAAGATGAGTTACATTTTAATTAACACAAGGCTTTTAAAATATTAGCATATTTGCTTGATCAGCAAGATATAAAATTTAAGATTGAATGAATGATGATAATTGACATTGAATTATAAGCATTCTAGATTTATTGCACATTCTAGATTTATTGCTAGCATATTTACTTGATCAGCAAGATATAAAATTAAAGATTGAATGAATGATGATAATTGACATTGAATTATAAGCATTCTAGATTTTTCTTATTTCACAAAGTTTTGCATTTGGATCTCTTTTCCTATTAAAACTTATAATTCACATTCTTCAATTTCCTGACGAGGTGTAAGCCGTACCTGTAATTTTCCTTTCTTTTGTGCATAAGGATCAGAATAAAAAAGATTTTCTTTTTGTCTATTAGATAAAATAAAAATTTGTTATTTGTTTGCTTTCAAATCTTGAAAAAATAAAAGCCCTAAATATTTAGACAAGAAAATGCAATTTTTCATTTTTCAATATATGCCTTACAAAAATTTTACTTTACAAAATAATAATAATTTTATTAAACAATGGTTTCAGCATGCTTTGAAATTGCAATTGTTGATAAAGTTAATAATTGTTCATAAACTATTAAAAGTCGCTGATTTTTTTAATCCAATTATTTTGTTAGTGCTGGTCAATTTATTATACACAGCAAGTTTGAGGCAGTGGCACCAAGGTGATGGTTAACCCACAAATAAGTACAAAACCTACAGACGAAACATTTACGATTGAATTGGGGGATTGAACTAACATTTAAATATAAATGCAAATTAAATTCACTCCTACTAATCTTTAAAAAGTAATGTTTACACTTTTGTGTGCATAATAGCTTTACTTTCTTCAGATTAAGATAAAAACTTTCAAGATTAAAAAGAACAAAAACCTACCTGCCTACTGCTTTGAGAAAATAAAAAAGTAAGTAAGCTAATTATAAATTGCTGAGAAATATCAAGAAAATATTCCCGCTAATTCATAAAACAAAAGTAAGTTATTCTCATGTAAAAATAACAATAGTAATAAAATTACACCGATGCCCAATGCAGTTTTGACACTATCAACAAAAAACACACAAGTTATCTTACTAAAACATATAGGCGTAAACTTTTTATGATTAAAATCACATGAAGCAAATTCACATATTTCTTAATTCTAACCTTTAATTTCAATTCATTGTCTTCTTTTTCTTGCAACTGCTTTTTTAAAACTTCAGATTCCCTTTGAAGTTGGTTTCTAAAATCTATTTCACATTCACTAAGCTTGTTTTGTAGCTTCAAATTTTGGCTTAAAAATGAGAAAATAGACATAATATAAATTTAGTAAAAAAAAATAATAATTATCATAATTTTCAACAAATATTTTTAAGGTCACACCTTAAAGATATTGACTAACCTTTTAATTTCTTCAATAGAATTCCTAGCACACACAAGTTCATTATTTATCATAGCCATCTGCACTCGTAATTTATCTCTTTCATCAGCTAAGTTAACTAACATCTTTCCCTAATGATAAAGAGGGAATGGAAAAAATATTTAGAATTATTGTGCTAATAAAATTACTAGGAATTTTTTTAAAAAAAAACAGTGTTTTCACTACAGCGCGAGAATCTCGAATATTTTTTTCTTTTCTCGAATTAAAAAATTATTACCCCGAGAAATTCGCTATAAACCAATTTCAAAATTCGCAAATTTCTCACATTTTGAAAAAAATTTCTCATTGCGCCATTTAGAATAAAATCCGTTTCATTTTTCTTCCTAGATCTTTCATTATTTTCAACATCTGCCCCATTATCTAGCTTCCCTATTTACCAGTATTGTTCAGAACCTTTAAGGACAACAGAGCACCATCCCTCCAAACGACAGAACCTCTTTCAGAATGCATTTCTCTGCAACCACATGTTTACCGTAGGTAAGGTTTCTTCATGTAAGACGTTCAAATTTTTTGCGCATTAATGTAAGATGGACAAATACCTTGTAAAGGCAATATCTTCTACTCCAAAATGGACAAATTAAACAAATGTGGGTAGAAACTATCAAAACGAAACAAATACGCATTTGAGCAACCTAATGAGAATAGCTGATGAAAAAGTAGATGTATTTCCATATTTCATATGATGATGCAGCAAAAATATTCAATGCTTTAAAAATTAGAAGATGTTAAAAATGTATTATAATTAAAGAAATGATTTTTTTTCCAAGCCTCTTTGTGATTTTTTTTTTTAATTTTTAGAAATCTCACTTTTTGAAATCTCACCCTGTTTTTGAAAAAGGGTGAGGAATTCTCACCCATTTTTTTTCGGCGATGAAAACACTGTAAAATATTTTAAATATAAGATTAACTAATCTTGATGGTAAAAATTTGTTTTAACAAACATCTGTCCAGCATTTCCATTGTCCAACATTGACCAAATTCTGGCATTTTTTGACAAGTAATTATTTATTGCAGTATAAATTTCATTATTTACCTTTGGGTGATTGACTAGAAAATTTCTGTCATGTGGACGGATATGTGTTAAGTATGACAGAAACAGTAGAGTAAAAAAAAGTAATTTAAAGTTAAGTTTTGATAGATAAAAGTGTAATTTTTATTATTATTTTTTTTAAATGAAAGAACTTTTACCCGTAATTTGAAAAAGAATAAGAGAGTACATGGTAGCTAACTACTTACAAAAATATTTATAATATTGCATACCTTTTTCTCTTTTTCTTCTTCAAGTGCTTTAAGTTGATGTTTTCTATCCTCATTATATAGCTTTTGAGCTAATTTTTGAGCTCTGTAAAAGATCACAATAAAAATGTTCAATACTATATTCTGCTCAAAATCTTTAAATTAAATATCATTGTACAAAAACTGAATACAAAGGAAGAAATATTCTCTTATAAATGAAACTCATCTAGATCAATGCAAACTCACTTCATAGCTTTCTTTAAAGCTTGCTTCTCTGTCTCATGTTTGATTTCAATTTCTTCCAGTAACTCAATCCATTTTGTATCATCACCTTTCAAGGAGAGTTTCTAATGTAAAGAGGCATAAAATAAATGAATATTGTATAAAAATGTAAAACTTTTGACTGTTTTTTAACTTTGAGTTTTGAATTCATCAAAAATTATATATTTAAGTGGATTAAGTAAAGAGGAGAAAACAAGGGTACATTTTCTTACAGTCAATTCAGAGGTTAAGTTTTTAATTTGGACATCTTTATGATGGATCATTTTTTGGAATTCAGCTTTTGTGTCTTCAAGTGTTGTGTTGTAACCCTCTACAGCACGATATTTACCCTAAAATTTAAAGAAAATGTTTACAAGTTTTAATTTATGCCATAAAATAAATATTTAGTCACCTAGGAAATTACTTTTTACATAATACAAAACTAGTTTGCATTCTGAAACCAAACCAGTTGGCCCATGTCATTAGATAAGGAAACATTCTTCTAAATTTGCTCAATTATAATAACTTTGGAGCAAAGCTCACCAATCTTTTAATCTCCATGGATCACCAAGCAAAAAAAAAATAATACTTCGAACCACCACTTCATTTTTTTTTAGAAGAAGGGAAAACTTCTCCTTAAGATTAGGGTGAGTTTTGAAATGTCTCAATCCAAAACAAAATTGATGTGTTTAAGCAATTTTTAAAAATTGTACTAATTAAAAAATTATTCAAGGTGGTAAGTTTTCAAATGAACAGTTACTGTATATTTTTAAATAAATTTTTATTCATGACGTTCAAGGATGAGAAAGAAGAGTCAAATTAAGATAATAATAAATTAAAGTTTACTTAATAATTACAATAAAAGTATCAATATTTAATCAGTGACTATACGAGTAGACAGAAGGAAAATTTGATGCTATCAGAGCAAAACTCCTTGTTTGTTAACAATTCTTTTAAATTCTTTTACAGATTTGCCAACCTCAGAAATTCAAAAGGCCTGCAACATTTTATGACTGAGGCAAAAAATAACAGAAAGATAAAAAATATTTAAAAAAAAAACAAATGAATAAATTCACACTTTCTTCAAATTAAATTTACATAAGTAGCTTTAATACCACAAATTCTATTACATTAAAAATAGATTGGGTGACTGGTTTAGCATTATTTAATAATGTTATAAAGATATATTTTTTTACCTATAAAAAGCTTTAATGGCAAACAAAATTTTTTGCTTCATTTTACATAAAATGTTATTTTGGCAATTAATTTCTGATCCTAACTATTTAAAACTAAGGACAAATTCTAAAGTATAAGTGGACTTAATATTGGATGCATTCTGAATCTTGTTATTTTCAGAGAAGGACATTAATTGGAAAACAGACATAGTACACACAGATAACAAAATTACGACCTGGATGAAATCTATCTAAATTAAAATATCAATACATTTGAAATATCTAACAGCAGCAGAATTTTAGACAAGTTAGTGTAGGGGTGCACAACCTGCGGCCCACGGGCCAAATGCGGCCCTTTGACTACTGAAGTGCGGTCCGCGAGAGCTTCTGAACACAATAAAAAAATTTTAAAAAATGGCAATTTTTAATCGCACTTTTAAATCATCACGTTTTGACACAATCAATTTTTACAGATTCTTTAGTAAATGTTCGTTTAATGCGCTTTCTTTAAGCCGATTTTATCGTAAATATAGATGATTTTTTTAAACAGTTATTTCTGCTTTCCTACGTGATTTTGAAAATCCCGAATTTTTATTATGACGCGAGTTTCAGACCGCAAATTTAAATAATTACTTTTTGTGCACTTTATTTGTGACGATTTCATCTTAAATCTAAGTGATTTTTTTATCCTTTTTTTGCAATTCTTTCTTTTCTTTCAACAATTTTTTCGGCAGTTATTGCTAAGCGTTCCCACGTATTATAAAAAATTCCAATTATTCTATTACGACATACAAATTTTAAATCATGCATTTGACACGCTTTATTCGTGCTGAGTTCAGCATAAATATATTTTTTCCTAATTATTTCTATACTTTTCCTCGTGATTTTGACGATCCCGTTATTTAACTATGATGTTATTACGACACGTGATTGTTAATCACGCAATTAAATAATCACTTTTTGATACGGTATTAC